TTCCGGCAGACCCTTGAGGTTCGAACACTGGGGTGCACGCGGAGATCTCTCCCCTACCGATATACGTCCAATCTCCTTGCGTGATCTAAGCTGCAAACAACGAACAACACAAGGGACACGAGGTTTATACTGGTTCGGGCCACCGTTGTGGTGTAATACCCTACTCTAGTGTGTGGTGTGGTGGATTGCCTCAGGGGCTGATGATGAATAGTACAAGGGAAGAACAGCCTCGCAAGAGGTGTTCTTGAGCTGGTGCGATGAACTGCTTGGGTGAGTTCAGTCGCCCCTCTCTCTCTCTGCTAGGGCTCTACCACATCTCTAGATGTCTAGGTGTGTTCCTCTCTCTCTATCTCTGTCTGATCCCTAGATGTCTAGGTGTGTATCCCCCTACTCTATGGTGGCTAGCTCTATTTATAGAGGCCCTGGGCCTCTCCCCAAATAATGAGCGGGAAGGGCACCAACAATTGGCCGTTTTGAAGGGGAACATCTAGTATAAGTTATCCTGACCAAAGGTGGTCTTCTGCTGCCAAAAGCACTGGTGATGACGCCGTCTTGGGCTCCACGGTGACCTCCATCCTGCCGCTCTGTTGGTCTTGGTCTCGTTGCACCGGAATGGTAACCTTTGCCCGATGCCTTGGCCTGTGCTTGCCCCCTTTGCACGAAAGGGGAAACAAGGACACTGCGCAGGCCGGCGCCCGCCTGGTGCCCGCCTGGTCTCGATCGTCATGGCTTGTGTCACGGGCTCCTCGTGAGGTACCCTTGCCTTGATCTCTCCGCCTCCTCGCGAGCCTGCCTGATGAGGCTGCCTCTGAGGAAGCTTCCTGTCATCCGCCCCACGAGGCTTGGCCCCTCGCGAGGGTCTTGAGCTTGAGCCGATGAAGATGGGCCGCGTTGGGCCCCCACTTGAGCCACACCACAGGCCGCAGGCAGGCAAGTCTGGGGACCCCCGTTCCCAGAACGCCGACAACGTCTCGTTGGCCTTGAAGAGCACCTTCCAGATGTCTTCGTGCGTAGTGCCAAAGAACTTTTGCAAGGTCAGGTGCTTGGCCGGATCGAACTCCCACAAATGGCAAGTTCGTCTTTGGCACGGAAGGATCCGGCGAGTGAGCATCACCTAGATCACATTGACAAGCTTGACATTCTTGTCCAGAATGCTCCTAATACACGTCTGAAGCGCTGTCAGCTCGTCCGATGAATCCAGGCCCTTCTTTAGCCAGGAGGTGAGCCGCATCGGGGCGCCGGACTGGAATTCAGGAGCTGCGGCCCAGGTGGTATTGCGAGGCTCTGTGACGTAGAACCACTACTGTTGCCACCCTTTGACAGTCTCCACGAAGGTACCTTTGGGCCATGTGACATTGGGCAGCTTGCTCACCATGGCGCCTCTGCACTCTGCATGTTGGCCATCTACCACCTTCGGCTTCATGTTGAAGATCTTCAACCATAGTCCGAAGTGGGGTGGGATACGGAGGAAGGCCTCGCACACGACAATAAATGCTGAGATATTGAGGAAGGAGTTGGGGGCCAGATCGTCAAAAACCAGCCCGTAGTAAAACATGAGTCCGCGGACGAAGGGGTGGAGAGGAAATCCCAACCCACAGACGAAGTGGGGGATGAATACAACCCTCTCAAGGGGCTCCGGGGTAGGGACGGTTTGTCCCTTGGCCAGAAGCCGGTGGGCAATTTCCTTGGCTAAGTACCCGGCCTCCCGGAGCTTGGTGATGTCCTTCTCCTTGATGGAGGAAACCATCCACTTGCCTTGCGCTCCGGATCCGGACATGGATGGAATGTTTTTTTAGGTGGAAGAGATGGAAGCTTGGGCGCTAGAGCTCGAGAATGGATGGGCAGAGAGAAGGAAGGCATGGGTGAAAGAGGTGAATCCTTATCACTTTATAAAGGTAGTGAATATCAAGCGCCTCCCCACTCGCCTTAAAACTCGCCTATTCCCTAAGGGTCGTGCAGGCGACGCAGTTTGATTACCCATGCCTGTATTAATGAGAGCCCACAATAGGGGGACACGATCTCTGCTTTGACAAGACGTGCCAATAAAACTGCATCTTGAAACATGGAGCGGGAGGCTAAAAATGGTTCCAAATAATGACCGGGTTGTGACATGATGTCACACTACAAAAGTTGTCAGTAGATTGGATTCGTGAAAATATTATACTCTCTGCGGATATGCATGGTATTTGTTTTACAGAGCCGGACACGTTTTCTGTGTTCGAAGAGCTGTTTTGGAGTATTCGGAGGAGGAACCCACCTTACAATGCCGAAGACAATCTGCGCGTCGGACACCTCGCCATTGAAGCCTGGTTCAGGGGCTACTGAGGGAGTCCTGGATTAAGGGGTCCTCGGGCGTCCGACCTGTTAGATATGGGCCGGACTGATGGTCCATGAAGATACAAGACAAAAGACTCTTTCCGTGTCCGGATGGGACTCTCCTTGGCGTGGATAGCAAGCCTGGTGTTCGGATATGAAGATTCCTTTCTCTGTAATCGACTTTGTACAACCCTAGCCCCCTCCTGTGTCTATATAAACCGGAGGGTTTAGTCCGTAGGGGCAATCATAATCTGACAGGCTAGACTTCTAGGGTTTTAGCCATTACGATCTCGTGGTAGATCAACTCTTGTAATCCTCATATTCATCAATATCAATCAAGCAGGACGTAGCATATTACCTCCATCAAGAGGGCCTGAACCTGGGTAAAACATCGTGTTCACTGCCTCCTATTACCATCAACCTTAGACGCACAGTTCGGGACCCCCTACCCGAGATCCGTCGGTTTTGATACCGACACTGCCCACTTCAAATATGGAACCCCTCGATGGCGAGGGACGAGGCAAAAGAACTTTCTCCATAGTTCGAAATGGGCCTCGTAGCCTAGAAATAGTTCGCAGAGAGCGACAAAGCCCGAGATTTGTAGAATCAAACCCGGGGTGAGGTTGTGCAGCTGGATTCCATAGAACTCCAACAGCCCCTGAGAAAGGGATGGATCGGGAATCCTAAGCCCCGCAAAAGAAATGAAACAAAGCACACCCTCTCCTCCTTGTTGTGGTTGGGGAAATTTTCTGCTAGCGCATCATTGCCGATCGAGGCTAGTCTCGCTCGCATAGAGACTAGATCTGCGAGAGGGAGATAGCCCTGCGTCTGAAGTTGACTCAACTAAAGTTGAGACACAAAGCAGCTTCGCCAATCACCCTGTTAAGAAGTGCTAGGAGAGCTGGCCATGTTTTGAAGTTTTCTGTGGCTAGCTCTAATGTTCTCTACACGATGTGGATGGCATTTGGGGACCTAACCTCTTTATAGGCGCCACCCCTGTGTGGCCAAGGGCTTATTTGTTAAAAAATATTATGGACCATTCGCATTCGCCTTGCACGTGGAAATCGAGGCGACGAAAGGAAGGAGTCATAAAGGCAAAACGTGAAGGACATGGCCGAATTGTTATCCGACTGAGGTATGATGACGAACCTGCCTTGCAAAGCCGGATACTATGTCGTCATTGAAGGCAAGTTCGGGGGCTACTGAGGGAGTCCTGGATTAGGGGGTCCTCGGGTGCGCGGCCTATTCAATATGGGCCGGACTGATGGGCCGTGAAGATAAAAGCCGAAGATTATCCCCCGTGTCCGGGTAGGACTCCTATATGCGTGGGACGGCAAGTTTTGGTGTTCGGATGTATTATTTCCTTCCTCCGTGAACCGACTTTGTACTACCTTAGGCCCCTCTCGTGTGTATATAAATGGAGGGTTTAGTCCATGGAGACTAGAATTCTCATAGGCTAGACAGCTCGGGTTTAGCCATTACGATCTTGAGGTAGATCAACTCTTGTAACCCTTATACTCATTGAATACAATCAAGCATGACGTAGGATTTTACCTCCTTTAAGAGGCCCCGAACCTGGGTAAACATTGTGTCCCCATCGTCCCTTGTTACCATTTATCCTCAGACACACAGTTCGGAACCCCCTACCCAAGATCTGCCGGTTTTGACATCGACATCACTCTATACTATTGAAGTTGAGTACATTGCTGCTGATTCTTGTTGTGCTCAATTGCTATGGATGAAGAAAACTCTCAAGGATTACGACATCAATGTGCAAAATGTGCCACTCTACTACGATAATAAGAGTGCCATCAAGATTGCTCATAACCCAGTTCAACACTCGAAGACATAGCACATCCAAATTTGTCACCATTTTCTTCGAGATCATGTGTTGAAGGGCGACATCTCTATCAAGCATGTGAAGACTGAAGAATAGCTAGTGGATATCTTCACAAAGCCCTTGGATGAGAAGACATTTAGCAAGTTGTGGTGTGAGCTAAATATCTTAGAATATTTAAATGCTCTTTGAAAAGGACACACATCCTAACACTTATGCAAAATTGATGACTTAGATGTGCAACACATAAAGTAACGTTTTTCGTCAATCAATGAAGACTAACCCTCTAAGTGTGAAGAAATAATGAAGAATTTGATTCTCATAGCCCTACGATAATTGTACGTGACGTCTGAAATCATCATTCTTATACGATGGGTCACGCCACCAACAAAGTTAAAAATCTTCAATTTGAATTTTTCTTTAAATTTTTTAATTTCCTCGAAATGTTCAAATTCTTCAACTTTGGATTGTCTTCATCCTTTTCCGACTATGTTATATATATGTAAAGTCAATGAACACTATTGTAATCTCAGGATTAGAATAACTATTTAGATCACGAAGCGCCCCTATATAAGGTGCAACAAGGTGTTCCCAAACTTCTGAACCCGTGCAAAGAAAATCCATCCCCACGAAGCCCGTCACCAATCCCGATTCCCCACCACACCCCGATCTGGCGTGCCTCCACCCTCCGCCGCCGGCCACCGGCGCGCCGCCCACCCCAGGCCACCGGCGCCACGCCTCCACCCACTGCCACCGGCCCTCACCTCCTGCCACCGCCGCCGGCCGCCGTGGCCCGCAGCCCCCACCGCCGCCTGCCAGGTCGCCGGGATCTCGCTGCTACTCTTCCATGTGCAACCGCTCGCCGGAATCCGGCTGCTCCTCCCAAGCGCCGCCCACGCCGTCCTCTGCTCGTTCCCGCACGCTGCCGGCTGCATCTCGCTGTTTCGCGCCGCCGGGATCACGCCTATCGCCTTCCCGCGGACGCCGGAGGAATAGCTCAGGCACTGCTCCTCCACATCCTCTTGGTTGCATGACCACCACTCTGCCTTCTTTCGTTGCGGCTTTGTCGCCGTCGCATCTAGGCAGAAGCGAACCATCTCACGCGCCCCTGCCAGTCCCAGCAACACGCAAAAAGCTGTCGCCCCTTACCTGTTGGTTGTCCGCTCATGGCAACCCTCCCTACGCTGAGGCTGAGCTGACCGTGGCAGTCTGCGAGAGCCGATCTGGGCCGCATCTTCTTCATCTTCAAAGCAACAGCAGCGAGCCTGTTCAGTTCGTCTTCAAGGAGCAGCAACGCATCACGTTCACCCACTAGCCCAACCACCAGTCACTCCCCAGCGCAGTTTAAAGTCCCCAATTTTCGGCCGGCCATCAGGGGATCCGGTCACTATTGCAGGCCCACTTTGCCTGATGCGTTAGTCCAACTTCAAAAGAAAGAGCAGCGTGTGTTGCTGTCGTGTTCCGCTCACTTGTTTGAAGCACGAAGGCCGCTGGATCTTATAGTGTATAAAAGAAGAAACGATAGAAGAAGCAAAGCATGTGGCTGGAGAAAAGAGAAAGCGCAATCAACGTTGAAGGGATATGGATGAATATGTGGCTAGGATTAAAATATATGGCATAGGGCAAGTGCGGTGCTAACACCACACAAACCAATGGTTGTTTTTCTATTACAAAAAGAGATTATTATGCATTCTATTTTGAAGAAAAGGTTCAATTCTGTCCCTGCATGATTTCTGTTTCAAGTTGATATCTGAAAAAATCCCTCAGGCAGTATGATAGTTGTAGTTGTAGTTCTCCTGTCTCTGCATTTTTGCACAGCCGCCAAATCTCCTGTGGATTATCCCCACGGCCATCACAGCAGAGTGTGCGTGTGTACATGCACTGGTGCATGGTGCGTGTCGACTGTGAATTGTTATGGTGTACTTCCTACGTGTATTGCTGTGTGTTATTTTTTTTAATTTTCAACGAAGTGCATGTTTTAGAAGTTTCGAAGTTCACACGTGCCAAATACTGAAGAAATTCATGAAATAAAAAGGGACAGCCCATATATAGAAATAGATTTTCCCAAGTTCTAAAAAATAAAACCAACAAGGTCAAATTAAAATAACAGAGCAGTTTGATGCTCACTTAAACTTTGGATTTTTCTCATTTCTAAAAAATAACCAAAAAATTTAAAAGTTAAATTTTCCTCGTTTCTAAAAATTAAGAGAGAAGGCAACTCAAAATAACTGAGCAATTCAAAAAAAGTTTATAAAAAAAAACTAGAAAAATTGAAATGCCGAGAAGGTCAAAAAAATGTAGAAGTCCAAATTTGAAAAAACCTAGAAGTTCAATTTGAAATAACTAAGAAGGTAAAAAAAACTAGAAGTTCAAATTTAAAAACCTAAAAATTGTTTGCTTATGTAAAACCATATTTTCTGAGAAGTTCAAAGAAAACAAGAGACAAGTTCGAATATAAAAAAACTTAGATGTTTGCACTTTACTAAATAATAAAAATGAAGAAGTTTAAATTAAAAAAGAAAAAGTTAGAAAAAGTTTTAAAAAAAATTCTCGTTTTTTAAACCGAAACACATAGAAGTCCAAATTGATAACGGTGGGAGAAAGTTAAAAAAATATTGTGAGAGAGGTTTGTACAAAAGGAATATCATTTGTGTAATAATGACGAATGGATGAGAAAATTGCAAACGAAAATAAGTCACAAAAGTTCAACTACTACACTGAATGAATTTCAAATGAAAAACTTTTAAAATCATCAGTAAAATCTGAGTTTTAATGTCATTGGTGCGGCACAACTGGTTCAATGCTTGTTACAAACCCAAAGAAGGTCATTAAAAAAGCATCTCAACAATTTTATAACAAAGATTTTCTCTATTAAAATAAACCTAGAATTTAAATTTAAAAACGGAGCGGCTCGATGTCTATAAAAAAAGTAGGATTTTTTCCGTTACTAAAAGAAATAAAATCAGGAAGTCCGATTTAAAAAGATGGAGAAGTTCGATGATTACAGAAAACTCAGATTTTCCTCATTATTAAAGAATGGAAATAAGAAGTTCAAAAATTAAATAACAAGAAGTTCAACTTTTAAAAATAGAGTGCTTCAAAATTTCATAAAAAAGATAAAGAAAAAACTAGGAAGTCCATATTAAAAAGACGGAGAAGTTCGATGATTATAGAAAAATCTCATATTTCCCTTGTTATTAAAGAATGGAAACAAGAAGTTCAAAAATAAAATAACAAGAATTTCAAAAATAAATTAACAAGAAGTCCAACTTAAAAAAAATAGAGCGCTTCAAAATTTCATAAAAAAGGATTAAGAAATAAAACCAGGAAGTCCATATTAAAAAGATGGAGAAGTTCGATGATTATAGAAAACTCAGATTCTCCTCGTTATTAAAGAATGGAAACAAGAAGTTCAAAAATAAAATAACAAGAAGTTCAACTATTAAAAATAGAGCGCTTAAAAATTCATAAAAAAGATTAAGAAAAGTAAGATTAAAATTTATAAAAAAACTCAAATATTTTCATGTAACCGAGAGAAGTTCAGGTTGATAACTGCTAGAAGTTCATGTAATACACGGCGTGCATTTTTATTAAAAAAAGAACAAAAAAGAAAAGGCAAAAAGTTTTGTTGTTATAAGTTCAAGTCCTTCGTCGAAGAAAGTCAAAAAAATTATTGTGAGAGAGATTTGTACAAAAGGAAATAACATTTGTGTAACACCGACGAATGGATGAGAAAATTACAAACGAAAATACTTCACAGAACTTCAACTGAAAATAGCAGGAAGTTCACCTACTACACTGAATGAATTTCAGATGAAAAACTTTTAAAGTCGTCGCGAGTATGAAAAAACGATCAACACGGGAAAGTTAAGTGCTTACAGCAGCTTTCCACCGGTATATCACTTGCTCAATTCCGGTGAGTGGATGGAGAGCTACGAACAGTAGATGGAGACCTACGAGCAAAAAAATCACGTGAAAACAGAGTGAAGTTCAGGTACACGCGCCGAGAAGTCCAGGTTCTTCACGCGGTGCATTTTCGAAGAATCTGTTTCGCGATAAAGGCAGAACACATGATCCCGCCGTTTTCAAAACTACTTGAAAATGGCTAGGAATCAGAGAAAACCATCAACATGAAAAAGTTTCACATTTTTCGTAGCTTTTCAGCGGTATATTATTTGCCCCATTTCGATAAAGTTTGTAGAAATTACGGCAAAATTACGTTTTTAACCATTTTCAAAACTGACATAAAACCGTAGTGAATTAGGAGAAACAATATATACAAAAAAGTTTTTGCATTTCTTCAAGCTTTCCAACGCCATATCATTTGCTGCATTTGGACGTACGGTTAAAAAATTAGCTCAAAAATACGAACTCGGTGGAACTTGTACCATTTTCTAAATTACTTTTAAACCATTCAAAAATAGAAATAACTTTGAACATAAAAAAGTAGCGCATTTTCATAAGCTTTCCAACGCCATATTATTTGCCTCAATTGGATTAGCCGTTTAGAAATGGCGTCAAAAATACGAACTCGGGTGTTCGGTTTACGAAATTTTACGATTTTTGAATTACTCTTTAACCGTAGGGAATTAGAGAAAACTTTCAACATGTGGAAGGAGCGGTTTTGCAGCAGCTTTTCAACGCCATATTATTTGCCTCATTCCGATAAACTGTTTAAAAATGCCATCGAAAATACGATTCACGTTTTTTGTATGAAGAAAAAACGGTTTTCAAAACTGCTCTTAAACCGCTTACATTTTGCCAAAATTTTAACTTGGGTCATGATACTGATGTCCATAGCTATCCAACCGTATATCGCAAGCCCCATTTGGACACCTTTTAGCTGAAGTTCAACCTAGTACTCGGGGAAGGTCAGGCGCGTTACTCGGGAAGTTCATGTTGTGATCAGAATATTATTCTGATCCCGTGATCAGAATAGTGTTTTTGTGTGTGTGTCTATATATATATATATATATATATATATATATATATATATATATATATGAGTTTTCAAGTCCTCTACAACATCACGTATTGCTAGTTCTTTAAGTTTACTTTTTGCCTAAGTGAATTTTATTGGACCCATTCCCCCTCTATGCTAAACTCAAACCAACCTGTTCACAAATTCTTCATATGCGTTCTATTTGAAACCCGTTCAAAATCTTCACTGTGTCCTTGACAACTGAAGAATTTGCGAATGAAATGTTAAAATTTCCATATCCGTATTTTAGGCGTCTGCCGCTCAAACCGTTCCTCATGCCACGATAAGATTAAACTAATCACCCATGATCAAGCATGATCTCCACCTCTCTGTACGTGGGTGACACATGTCGCTTGGATGGCAAGGGTCAGGGGCACGTTCGTCCAATTTCTTCGAACGGGCAGTTTTTCATCTCGGCTATAAATACCCCTCGCCCGCGTCAGACCTCATTCTCCGCTCGATGTCACTCCCCTCACTCGAGCTCTCTGACCTAGCGCCGCCATACTCTCCATCGTCGCCGGTGAGGAAGAGCTTCACTACCCCGACCTTGTCGCCGTCGTACTCGCGCCGGCTGCAGAAATCTTCACCCCGCCGCTGCGGTAGCTGTCTTCCGCCGCCAAGTTAGGGCGTGGAAGATCTGAATGGACGAACTTCTCCACTTCAACTCCCAGTTCGCTGTGTTCTTCATCCAGGGTAATTAAAATCTGATTTTAATTCCCTTGTTGATTCTGATGATTTCAAAAAAATCTTCAAAAGGTGTTTATTCTTCAACTTCCATATCCATAAACACCCTGTTGCATCTGTTCTTGATGTGTTTCCTTAAGCTATGTTTTTCTTCAAGATTCCTCAATTGTGTGGATTCTCAAATCTATACAACTCTGGAACCTACGTCAAGAATGCTTAGTGAAATTCCTCACGACACCCATGGTCAAATTCCTCAAACTTGACTCTTTTGAAAAAAAATTGAGAACACATATGACCTCTCCGAATTCTTCGCACCTATACTCTGTTCACAGATACCAATGTCCGCTACTGAATCACTAGATTATCATCAACTTAACTCATTTGTAGCGTTCATCGAAGAGAAATTGCATACCTCCTCAGAAACTTCAATTGTTCAAAATCCTCAAGTGAAGAAAATGGCTGATGGTAAAAGACCTTAGAAAGGAGGAAAGAGGCGAGAAATAAATACAACATTTGAAATCCCTGAAGACATCTATGATGAATATTGTACTCCTAACGAAGCCAAGCATGGCAAGGAGAACAAAAATCAACGCAAAGTGCGCATTCAGAGGATTGGGTGGAGATGGGCAAGAGAATGGAGGGAGTATCGA